TTGCGAGATCGCCCATTACGCTCGAAAGTAACTACGGCAAGTTGAGAGAGATGAACTGAGACGGTACTGAACAATAGATGGCAGTATTATGCCTGAGAATACTTTCTGTAAAATTATCTATGTAAACAAAACTCATCACTTGAGAAGGTAGGTGATGCAGACGTCGTGGAAGACATTTTGTCCCGTAACGCTCGCCGTACTGTCTGGTTTATCAGATAAATATCAACTTTCAACAAAATACTCAAAAATTAGGTAAAATATTATTTATTTTATAATCAGTTATTTTACATTCGACTTTTGGACAATCATCAATACTTTTAAATGAGAGGGGTACTCATGGCAAGACAAAATGCCCAAAGGGGTAAACAAGCCAAAATAGGATGGGAAACACTGGGATAGGGGACAGTTTGGGATTGAACCAATGCCTCATCATTCCAAAGGATTTTATTCCAGATATTTAGTAGCATTTTAATGTTATTTTTTATCTCTATCAATATAGTTGCTCTTTTAGATCTTTATCCTCAGTGTCCACCATGTTAACAGTGGGACAGACAGATCAATCTTGGAGTTTGTTTTGATGTTATTTGTATGGTGTCTTTGGCTTTAATACTAATGATGATTCTCATTCGGTACCAATATACCTGGAAGTTTTTTTGTAACTTTTTAGCAGCCCAGTCCTAAAAAGGTTCAAACACTTTAGTAGAAGCCTAACTATGATCAATAAATTGGGATCTCTTTAGCTCTACAAAAAAACATCTGATCTTCATAGACATTTCTTTTGCCTTTTAGCTAAATACCAGAGGCATAAAGGTAAAGAGAAATATTTGTTTTTAGAAGCTTGTTTCACGACAAAACGCCTCCACATTATTACAAGCATTGTTTGAATGTTATCACATTGTTCTAATCAGTAGCAGACTTTTTTATTAGCAGCTTGACAGTAGGAAGGGCAGAGAGTCATTTACATCCTTTACTATATCCTCTGTATATTATGTGCTTAGCTAAGACATTTGGTGTCAATATTATGTGATTTTTTTATTCTTATATTCTTATCTACTATATATGTTTGTCTTTAGGTTTGAGGTGATACATACAATTCACAGCAATTTTATTGGCTGGGATTTAGAGATGTATTGGCAGAAGGCGGACCGACCTGTCGAGGTGAGGAATACCTCTCTAAGTGAGGAGCTCGGCCAAGTAGGTTACTTGCTGAGTGACAAAACCGGAACATTAACCCAGAATCGCCTGCTCCTCAGACAGTGCTGCATCGCTGGAACAATCTATGGTAACAATAACCAGTCCACTAATATAGCTTTAAATGATAAAACTTACCCAACCCAACTTACAAACAATTTGATGGAAAATACGTATTAAACAGAATGTTTGTATTTGATTTTTAGGTTTGAAATCCATAGCTCCATAGAAGCTCAAACGACTCATTCTTGTGTTATTTATTTTTTACCAAATCAAATATTGGCATGTGTTACGTTCCTTGGCTGAGTCTAGGGTGTGTAAGGAACCAACCTAAATTTAGACAGTGAATGAAGGAGTCAAAAGGGGGCATTTTAAAAGTTTATTCTGCCATTTCTTTTGGATAGATTGTAGTAAAGGCTTCAGGGAGAGCCCAGGCCAAAATAACAAACAAAACAAACCTAAAGAAAAAGAAAAGTGGACTTACCTAACTCCATATGAAACCAAAACATACAAACCTACAAAATAGCCTACCTAACCAACACATAAACAGGAGAAAACTGGGGTTAAACAAAAAGGCAAGCTTTCCCCTACAAAACCCTTCAAGCAGGTTAACATGGTAG